TTTGAGACAGTCTCACTCTGTCACCAGGCTGGAGTGCAATGCCACGTTCTTGGCTCACTGCAACCTTCGCCTTTCAGGTTGAAGCGATTCCCCTGCCTCAGCCTCCCAAGTAGCTGGGACTACAGGCTTGCACCACCACACCTGGCTAATTTTATTTTGTTTTGTTTTAGTAGAGACAGGGTTTCACCGTGTTGGCCAGAATGGTCTCGATCTCCTGACCTCATGATCCGCCCACCTTGGCCTCCCAAAGTGCTGGGATGACAGGCGTGCGCCACCACACCCGGCCTCAGTTTTCATAATAAACCTTTTTGGGGAATAAAGAGTTTTTTGGATGCCTAAAAAAAGTCTTCATCTTTTAAGGTTCGATAGCTGAACTGTGTAATGTTTCAGTACTGAACATTTGGGGAACACAGGCCATTATTTCAGTTTTCAGGTTCTGTTTTCCTTTCACTTCAGAAAAATCTTGTGTTTTGTTTTGGTTGGTTTTGTTTGAGACTGAGTCCTGCTCTGTCACCCAGGCTGGAGTGCAGTGGCACAGTCTCTGCTCACTGCAACCTTGGCCTCCCGGATTCAAGCAATTCTCCTGCCTCAGCCTCCCAAGTAGCTGGGACTACAGATGTGAGCCACCACACCTGATTAATTTTTATGTTTTTAGTAGAGTCGGGCTTTCACCATATTGGCCAGGCTGGTCTCAATTCCTGAGCTCAAGTGAGCCACCGCACCCAGCCAGGAAAGTTTTGTGTTTTATTTTAGAACACAACTTCCATTTCATTCTTAGGTTCTCTTCTTCGCGAACACAAGTTATCTTTCGTTAGTCTCTTTGTCTTCTCTCTGTTTGCTTTCATTTGTCCTGCCCATCCGCATTTGCTGCGATTATCTCAAGCTTTCCTTTAGCGTTTATGCCTAGTGTTCCATTTTTTTAACGCTAAGCATGTGGAAGTGATTTATATCCTGCTCAAGGTCATCGCCAAGGTCTGATTGTAAAAACTCAAAAAATTGCAGCCTCAGGCATAAACAGGTTAAATGACCGGCAGAATTTTGTTCTGTATTTGTCATAATGTATTAGTCCTTGAGTAAGGTTTTATTCCTCTTTTTTGGTAAGTCTGCATCTTTTTTAGGTCTCATTAGTTATAATCTCATCTTTGAGCTCTCGTCTCGTGGCATTAACGTTTTAATGAAGTTATTCCTTGGTGTGGCACAGTGGTGAGGAGTGGCTTTCTCTGCAGTTGTGGTTTACCTGTCTGTGGCTTGCTTTGCCTGCTGTTTCTTTTCCTCTTGCTCTATGGGAGTGCGGTTCTGCTCACATGTTCTGTTGGCTCTAAAATAAGAAAGGAACTGTATTCTCCAGGTTGAGGCCAATTTGTCCCTGCCTCACAGCTCCGGGAGTGCTAAGGGCTGGGTATTCATGACCTGTTTTTTGTAACCTGAAGGAATGCTGTGTGGTGAGGTGGGGAGATGGGTCTGTCCTCTATTTAGGGATGTAGTCTCTGTAATGTGGCTCAGCTCACTTCCTTGGGAATTGTATTCCATTTCCTTTAGAAGAGAAGTCACACTCAGCTGGGCACGGTGGCTCACGCCTGTAATCTCAGCACTTTGGGAGGCCATGGGAGGTGTATCACCTGAGGTCAGGAGTTTGAGACCAGCTTGGCCAGCATGGTGAAACCCTGTCTCTACCAAAAATACAAAAATTAGCTGGTTGTGGTGGCGCATGCCTGTAATCCCAGCTACTCGGGAGGCTGAGGCAAGGAGAATCACTTGAACCTGGGAGGCGGAGGTTGCAGTGAGCCGAGATTATGCCACTCCCCTCCAACCTGGGCAACAGAGCAAGACTGCGTCTCAAAAAAAAAAAAAAGAGAGAGAGAGAGAGAAGGATTACTCACTGGAATTTGGAATGGATCTGTCCCCCATTCAGAATGTGCCCTGGAGCCCTTATTTCCTTCCCCCGGAGTCAGCCCATTGTTTCTGGTCCAGGTGCACCTTTTCTTTGCTTTTCCCCAGTAGCTTTTCCTCTTAACTCCTCAACTGAAGAGGAAGAGGACTTCCTCTTGCCACATTTGGGGATGGGAGTGAGAATTCTGGTTCTGCTCTTATCATTTGATTTGTCAGGGCTGAGCCAGGAATAGAATATGAGCCATGCGTGGCGCCTCCTTCATTTTTCCCTTGCCTCTGGTTTTGAAGTTAATGTATCTCAGATTAGATCTGTTTCCTTGTTTGGTTGCTGTTGGTGAATTATTTATTTATTTATTTATTTTTGCTTTTAAAATGTGTACTTATTTTGTTAATTGTCGGGGAAGGAAAATTATACTCCCATTTCAGTTTTTCATCTTAGGTCTTTATGTAGTTTTCAATCCACTTTCCCTTTTATAATGCTCATTAAACTCTGTACTTTTATTCTGCTCTTTTCAAACTAAGGATATGAGTTCATTGTAACAATATGTTGCTTGCAGTCCCACGGAAAATTGGGCTTCAGATACACGTCAGTGGGCCTTGCATTGCCAGGCAGCACTTCCGGGGCCACTAGCACCTGCAGTCTGCAAGACAAGCAGCTCTAGATTTTTTTTTATTCCTTAAGACCTCCGCCTTCCACCCTGGGGCCTGGCTTTGTCCTTTGTCTGCAACTTGTGAGGGTTTTTCCCTAAGCCTGGGCTCCCAATGGCCCTTGGCTCACCCAGGGCCTTTTGCTATTGTATGATGTGCAGAGAACTCACCCTGAGCCACTGGTATCTGCTAGCCCCGTATCTGCTAGCTGGAGATACATTCCTATCAGGCTGAGTGGTCCTAGCCCTCGAGTGGGGCAGAGATGGAAGAGTGGAAAAAGCGCACTGCTAGAAGGGCTGATGCAGAAATGAGCTGTTTCCTGGGAGAGAACCCTAAGGGAGTGGTGAGAGCTTCCTTTCTAGTTACTGTCTTCTGGATGCTCATAAGCCGGGTGATGTGCAGAGACCGTGGGTACCTCAGAGACCCGTTTCTTTGTTCCTGAGGAATATGTGAGAACCCGACGGCTCATCTGACATCCTTTGAGAAGACAGTAGCAGGGAAAGCTTAGGATGATTCACTGATGCTAGTCTGTGGTGGAACCAAGAGCTCTGGGAGCATAATTTCTTTCTTTTTTTTTTTTTTTTTTTCTGAGATGGAGTCTTGCTCTGTCACCCAGGCTGGAGTGCAGCGGCACGATCTCCGCTCACTGCAACCTCTGCTTCCCAATCAAGTGATTCTCCTGCCTCAGTCTCCCAAGTAGCTAGGAGTACAGGCATGTGCCACCACGCCTGGCTATTTTTGTATTTTTAGTAGAGACGACGTTTCTCCATGTTGGTCAAGCTGTTCTTGAACTGCTGATCTCAAGTGATCTGCCCACCGTGTCCTCCCAAAGTGCTGGGATTGCTGGCAGGAACCACCGTGCCTGGCCGGGGAACATAATTTCTATCAGCGTGGCTTCTACTTGGCCTCCACCTCCACTCGCTCACCCAACCTTTGCAAACCTGTGGTCTTCCTTTGTGTAGACCACCAGCCTTCTCATAATTTTAAGTCAAGTGCTTCATAAAACCCCAGTTTAGACTGCCTTCATACCCTCTGCCACCCCAGAGCCGGCAGCTGACTCTGACCCCCGAGTTAAGAGTCCCAGCCTGGCAATGTCCTGTGTACCCACACGGCCTGTGCTTGGCAGGCACAGTGCGCACAAGGGGGCAGGGGGCAGACACATAGCTTCTTGGCTTCGGAAATGGTCTGAGTTGGGCAAGTTTGAAGCATGTGAGCTTAGTTTTCATGTTTTGTTTCTGCGCCCAAGATCTGAGAGCGGGAGTGGTGGGTTCCCTGGCCAGCGTGGGGCTGGTGGGGCGGGTGGGGCGGTTGTGGGGGGTGATCAGGAAGGGGAGGGGACAAGTGGATGCCCATTTGCTCGGAGGCCCTGCTCGTTTCTGCTGCCTCTAGAGCCAGTGTCACAGAAGCGAATGTTTGTTCCTCTCGGAGAGGGGAGGTGGGCATAGAAAACAGTGCATCATGCTGAAGATCACGGGAGCGTCTGTGTGGGACAGAAGTGCTGCTTCAAAGCGGAGCGGCTTCTGCACCAAGTGAAGGGTGATGGACGGTAGGTGGAATTCCAATTAGGGGCCTCCGGATAGTAAGGCAACTTCTGAGCTTCCACAGAGGAAGGTTCCAGAACAGGCATTTCTTGCTTTCTCCTGTATCTCCCTCCCACCTCCCCCAGGGTTGGGCCTGGCGCCTTAGCCAGAGAAGGAGGGCACTAAAATAATTTTACTTCTTTGACCCTGAGGCAGAGAGACTGCAGCAGGAAGAGCTAGCCCAGGGGCACTCCCAGGCCACAGCACACTTTGTCTCCTTCCCACTTGTCTTCCCTGAAAGGTGTCCTTTCTTACTCAAGGGCAGCTGGCCCAGCTCCCTAGGGGGACTGAAGTGGAATCTGGCGCGGCTTCCTCTCGCAGCTGGGGCCACGCACATGGACCCCTGCACCCCTACCCAGCGGCGTCAGCAGCTGTGTGTGTTTCTCTCTTCTTTCTTTGCTAATACCCTTTATAAACCTTTTCCCTGCTAAGAATAACTTGCAGTTAGAAGAAAACAAAACTCCACTGGAGCGGAAATCTCCCCTTTCATGCATGCCAAAAGGCCAGGGTCGCTTGGATTTGGAGTGTCACTCACAGCTTGTAGATCTTCCCCAACCCTTGTGGGTAAGTCCATGTCTTAAGTGCTGGGCCAGGCAGGAGGGCTCTGCTGGCTGAACTTGCACACCCCGTGGGGACAGATCTAGACCTGAGCCTGGTTGCTGTCTTGTGGGTGTCTGATGCCCAGTGTAGGGCATGTCCTGGAGGAAAGAACAGCTGTGCCTCGGGGAAGAAAAGGTCACCTGGGAGAAGCAAAGGTGGCCCTGTGGGCTCATTCTTCCCATGGTACAGCCTGAAGGTGCCTCTTCCCTAGCACTCCAGCGGGTCACAGCAGCCACCTGGGGTGTCGCAGGGCCACTGGGTCAGGGAAAAGCAAATGCTTCATAAATGCTCACCTCGGCCAGGTGAGTGGTGCACGCCAGTAATCCCAGCACTTTGGGAGGCCAAGGTGGGCAGATCACAAGGTCAACAGATCGAGACCTTCCTGGCCAACATGGTGAAACTCCGTCTCTACTAAAAATACAAAAATTAGCCGGGCATGGTGGTGCGCGCCTGTATTCCCAGCTATTCAGTGGTGGGGGCTGAGGCAGGAGAATCACTTGAACCCGGGAGGCAGAGGTTGCTGTAAGCTGAGATCGCGCCACTGCACTCCAGCTTGGCAACAGACGAGACTCTGTCTCAAAAAAAACAAAAATAAAAAGGTCATCTCTAGGTGAATGCAGGCCAGGTAAAACTGCTAAAATCGCCCTGAGTTTACCACACCTGAAGTCTTGGGGTTTGTTTGCTCCGTGGTTTGAAGTTACCAATGCAGCTGAGGTGTGAACATCAGTTGGCTCATCTTATTGAAATGGCCCTAGAGGAGGGGCAGTGTGACACAGTCTGTCCTCTAAAGGGACCCTGGGGCTATCCCCTCATAGCATTGCAGGGCGTTGTAAGCCAAGGTCTGGATGCTTGTTGGGGCTGTTAGACATCAGGAATGATCTGCACAGAGAGAGACATGCAGGACTTTGTGGATCTCCGTGGGATCCAGGACATGTATTTTTATGTCTTCATGCAGGGGGCATGGTGGCTAAGAAAGCACTGAATTTAACATCATTCAGACCAGGCATCGATTTACAAAGCAGTTCTGCCTCTGGCTTTGCTGCTTTCTTCTGTAGGTCACATTTCCTAATCTCTGAACCCCAGTGTCCTTGTCTGTTACATGGGTAAGTTTCCTAGCTTCTGTTAAAGGAACAGGGAATGCCAAGCACTTTAGCAAGGTCTGCGCTTGGTGATGCTAGCTACTTCCATCATTTCATTGCCTTTCTTTTCTAAATGCAGGCAGACCTCCCCCTTGTTTTGACAGCACAGCTCATGCCGTCGACAGTTCAGTCTGCTCCGATGGATAACTATTTTCTTTGTACGATAGGTTTTTAGTCATTTTTTGCCTAAGATCCACCCTGCTCACCATAGTTCAACATTTGTCTCTTGGTGGAAATTTTGAGAGTTGTGAGTCTCAGAGTAGCACTTTTGAAGCCACCTTGTGGCTGATGCCCCATCCATCTCTGTAGACTCAAAGTGTATATTCCACTGAAGAGCTGTATTTTATGTCCCCAGATTCTGTGCATGCCTCATACGTGGATCCTAAAGCATGTAATGTCCCTTGAGTATATCACAGTAGGGGACTTATGTGACATGTGTACCCTGGGCCTGGAGTTAGGATACCTTACTTGGCCACAGGATATTCCTGACCATTTCATTAGCAGCCTAATGTTTGGGCTGAGAGAGTCAGAATCGGGGGAACCCTGATGATTATAAGTCTTAGAATTGATAGCTAAATGTTACTGAGTGCTTTCTATATGGTTCAGGTATTTGGCAGGGGCCGTGCCATAGCTTATGCTGTTAGATCCTCACAGTAATCTAATGAGGTGGATACAAGTTTTACAGATGATACCACAAAGGGTAGAGGGAAGCCAGGTGCTTGCCCGTAGTGACTTATAAGCAGCTGTGCAGAAATTCAAGCCAGGTTTTTCTGACACTGAGGGCTATGGTAAGCCGCAGCGCTGCTTTGAGTGATTGTAGACTGTTGTTGACTCTAGTGAAATAATTTCTTCAAGATCACATTGCTGGTAAGTGGCTGGGCCAGGATTCAGGCAAGCCTGCTCTCAGCCACTCTGCTGCTGTTCCTCTGTCATAAGCAAAGGCCCCGAGGCGGGGTGTGTGATTCACTGAGATTAATGTCCAAGCCCTGGCTGCCTGGGGAAGAAACAGCTGCAGTGATTGGCTTCTTCTGGGTTTGGAGCAAGGAGGCTCATTTTCCCCTCTTGATAATTTGTTTAGATCACTAATTAAATTATAATCATACTAAGGGAAATGGTTAACACGAGAAAAATCGTCGTCAGTCTTACTACCTTAAGCTTTCATTTGTCTTGTCTTTCTTCTCTTTCTTTTCTTTTCTTTTCTTTCTTTCCTTCCTTCCTTCCTTCCTTCCTTCCTTCCTTTCTTTCTTTCTTTTCTTTCTTTCTTT